CTTGTAGGGTCCAAGGTGTACTCAGATTTGTTGTGGCCAAAAAAAATTCGAGGATCCTAGGGTGAACTTGATTTTGACAGGGATCATGAGCAACTGTACTATCAAAAGAATTAAGAATTTTCTCAAAATTAAATACGAAAAAATCCCTGCATTCAATCTTTTTGTTAGCATCGATCCAAAATCAATTTAGATAACCTTCTTACAATCTAGCCACGTACCCTTTATATTTATTGAGCAAAAAAATTAACTTTAATATTTAAATTAATCCAAAAATACTTTTTTTAATGAAAGAAAAATAAAAAAGAAAAATAACATAAGAGAATTGATTTAATAATTAACGAGTGCATTCCCTCCTCTATCACCTATTAAAATATAAAAAATAAAATTTTTATGATTTTATTTATTTATTACAAAATAAATCGTTAAAAATCATATATTTATTTATTAATTAAAATCTCTCCTATAAATATAAATACTTTCAAACATGGTTATAGGACTTCACCGAGAAAAGATGTACATCATGGGTCAGAAGTGCTAACTTTTTTTAAAAAAATTGAAAATCAAAATAATATTATTTTGATATTTTTTTAAAAAAATAAAATTAAAGGTTGAGGTACGGATTTTATTTGAGCCAAGATTAAATCACAAGTTGATGTTAGTTTTTCAATTGAGTTAATTAAATTTTTTATTTTTTAAATATTTTTTAAATTAAATAGATATAGCGTTATATTAACTTATCAAACCCATCTAAATTTTATAACAATTATCAAATAAAAAAATTAAACAAAAAAAATTAATATATAAAACAATAAAAATTGAGTGTCAGCTATCAAATAAAAGTTAATAGTTGGAGTTGATAGTTGAAATTATATTTTGCTTAAAATTATAGTTGTAATTATTTTTTAAAATATTTTTATTTTAAAATATATTAAAATAATATTTTTATTTTTTAAAATTTATTTTTAACATTGATATATTAAAAGAATTTAAAAATATTAAAAATATATTAATTTAAAATAAAAAATAATTTTTTTAAATAATTTCAAAAGATTATAAAAAAGAAGACATAAGGGATGGTGGCCCAATTGTTGGCTGGATTTACCGATAGAGACGACCCAACCGTCATGATGTCAGAAAAATCAGACGGTGACTCTACTGCCTACGTAGCTTGCATTTATTAAGATTGTCCCTAGATAACTTCCTCAACGCGACCCCAAAAAGGGCCCTCGCTCTTTCCACTCCTCCTCCATTTTTCTCAATTCACTGATCAAAAGCATAGAAAGACTGCTTCTGATCTATAACTTGATGCAAGATACTAGCTCCGAATTATTTTAATGGAACAGTAAAGGTAGTCCATATGTTATCTTCGTATATATATGCCTTCCACAGTTTCGTATGGTCTGTGTTTTATCTAAATTATATATTTCAAAATATTTAGTTAATTTACACCTACTATATTTTTTTATGAATCTCAGTGAAAACTTTTTCATGAAAAAAACTTAATTAAAAAAATATAATTTATAATTTTTATCTTTTCGACGCTCGATAGACCCAGCAAGGCGCAAGTATGTAAACATCTTCAAGTCCTAATCTTATCTATAATTGTGAAAGGAAAAAGTTCATTGAATTGTTGATTGAGATGGTTGTGTTTAACGACCATCTTTGGCAATCAAATCAAGCATGTATTCATCTGATTTTGAGGGTCATATATATCCTTGATTTCTTTTTTCTTTACAGTCATTAGCCTTCCCCTCCCTTCTCTTCCCTCACTACTGATTTTTCTTCTTCTCAGTTTTAGCTGTCGGTGTTCATGAGGATATAGATAGAGTTTCCACATGAAATGGATCTTCACATGATTTCTGATCGAGAAGGCTGGTGGGTTTCCAATTTATCAACAGAGTGAAACAGTCCTTCTACACTCAATGATTGATGATGGACATTCTAACAACAGACATATCTAGTTCCATCTCTATAAATCCATTGATTTTTGTGATCTATCTCCATTGATTTTTGTGACCTACCTTCAGTCTAAACATTTAGATTCTTCCTCATCCTGAAATGGTGATCTTCTTTGGCTTATCTGCTATTTTATCTACAGTTAAAAAAAAAAGTGATTACTTTGACTGTTCTTGGGACATGCTCTTCTCCTTTCTTTCACTAGTGAGTGGAGCCCAACATTCTTGTCTTAACTAAACAGAATCTAAGAGAGATACCTGTAGCTTCCAAGAGACAAGATGGACGGAGGTATTTTATTGCAAGACCAGCCTTCTAATTAAAGCATGGGTTCACGTTCTCACATGGAATGTTCATTTGCAGACAAGGCGTTCCGTAGTAATTATTGCAACCTCTAAAAGTTTGATTTGGTTACTGTTCATCAAGTTAGTTTTGACATAAACTTCAAATCAAACCTAAATGAAATGATTTGACAGGCAAAGTTGTAACCTGACCAAGTTAACCATCAAGAATTCCATTCAAAATGATATGATTTCACTTTTTTTTCTTTAATTTTTGACCTAAAACAACATTTTTTCAATGAAACAACATCGATTGAAGTTGATTCAATAACCGTGCGATCCAAACCCTTAACAAGATGAACTTACAGGCATGGAGTCTGAAAACTATGATAGAGACACGTGAAAGGGTGACAAGACGTTTGTGTCTTGGAAAGGTTGTTTTTAATTTTTATTTCCCCTTCCTAGCTCACATGCATTTCTCATACAAAATCTCTCATGGTCGTGCTCAGAAGAACAACTGATGAACAGCTCCATGGGATTTGTACATGTACTCCGGACATGGGTGGTTTACAGGGTCACTATTTATGCACCAGCCACCACCTGCTCATGGCACTGTGTCCTCCTTCCATGGCAGCCATCCATTTCTTTTCACTGCTCGAAAGGACAATAGATTGATCATGAACACGCCCATGCAAGCAGTCACCTCAAGGTAGGTACGTGAAGGAGAGCAAATGAACGTGAGAGCACTTGCACATGGACACGTTAATTGAGACAAACCCATAAAGGGTGAGAAAGAAGTCTGTGGACGTAAATCTGGTTAACAGTTCATGTGATGGGACTAAAACCATGATTGTCTAAAATCATCAACTATTGCAGGATGCTAACGATCTTGGAGACACAAACAAGAACAGATGGATTTCCTCATCTTGTGCGTGTTGACAGATGGAATAATTGACAAATCAACATAATTTAAACTATCCAAACCATAGTCCTGGTCCTGCCTGCCCAAGTTGATTCAGAAAAGCTGCAATCCAAAGCCTCACCCGAGTTTCAAGTTTAACTAACCGAAAAAAAAATATTAACTTAATAAAACTCAATTATTAACTTGACTAAACCTAATTTAAAAAAAAACAAAACAAAACAACACTATTTTAATAATTATATTCTTAATTGAGGTTGATCAAGGTTAATACAGGGATCCAATATTCCAAATCTTTTTTCAAAATAAGCTCCGGACCAGGTCTAATAATTTTAATTCAAACATAGGATCCAACAAGGTACAATCAACTGGAATGGAACAGGGAGTGGGGAGGGGAGTAGAGAGAGGACCATAGCAGACATGCCTTGGAGAATTTAAGAAATGTGTCCTTTTACCCCCATATTTTAATACAGCATATTCCCAAAGGTAAAATAAAGAAGGCGACTAAGTCCATCTGTATTTCCACCACACCCCTTCTGTCCAGAGTTTTTTCCCATGTTGACACAATAGATAAATTTATTTACTAAACTAACTCTATTCAAAAAATAATTCTAGCTCTAACACAGAAACAAACAACAAACAGTGGTAGAGCATGTCATAATTGCACTGCATATAAGTTACGTAATTACTTTATGCGCCACAAGTAGTCACACATGTAGTACCCGCGACCCGTAAAGAAAAGCTGGTGTCCTTCAAATTAATACCCTTTCACCATCATAACCTCTCTCTCATTCATTATTAGAGTTGAATCACCCTACCGTCTGTTTCAACAATCAACAATGGGGAGGAAGTGATCAAATCTATGGCTGCTGTCAACACCAAAAGGAAGAAGGAAATGGGTCTGTGGGTTAATTTGTAGCTTCAAGTTGTAGCTACTGTGTAGACTAGTTCAAATGGGTCTCTTGCTGTTGTGAAGAGGAGACACCGACTATGGATGGAGAAGAGGCAGCATTGTTAATAGTGGTAGGGAGCAGCATTGCTGGTTCGATGAAATAGTCTTGAATGACTTTTTTTTTAAAAAAAATGGTTGGTATAAAGTAGGAAGAACTGTAACTTAGTTTGGGTTAAATGAGGATGAGGTTATTGTGTGGAGCTTGGGTTACTGAAAGGGGTCGTTGTCGCTGATTGGGTTGGCAGGTCTCATACTATTAGGTGGCCGAGATGAGTGGTGGGGAAAAGGAAAACAACGTCGGGTTGATGGTGGTCTGTGTGCTGATAGGAAAAGGGATGCTGTTGGGGAGAGAGGTCGTTGGATTTTTGTTTGTTTTGGTTACAGTTTAGCCGAGAGAGGTAAGGAAACGGGTTTTTGGTTTTGTGCCGGTTCTCTCTGACAGTGAAGGTGAACGGGAGATGAACGGTACAATCACATGCACTAAATCAGCACAATGGGCATACTTTTCAAGTAGAATTGGAAACTTAAGATTTTATTGATCGCACATGCACGACTACTTGTTGCACATGTAGTGCATGCACATCAAGTGCATGACCTCTTTTCCTAGTTTAAGAAATAAGTTTATCCACTATGATGCTAACATGGGAAAACACTCTTGTACACCCATATGGACATATTTCTGATTTATTGTGATGACAGAAGATACACAAAATTTAGCATAATATATCAGCTAAACCTTTAGAGAGGGGAAAAAAATGATTAGCAAGTGGCAATCGTAGAACCATGCCAACAGGCTCATACTGGGACTAGCCTTGCTTGGCCTTGTTTCTGGGTAAAAACCACATGGGCTTCAAACATTATCGAAAGAGGTCATAAATCTTCTACAAATGGTACATAAAAGTATAAGACAGTCCTTTTTATTGCAGGTAACCATGAAATGGAAGTTAAATAGCAGAGTTGTGCATGATTATTAGAAAAAGTGTCAGTAAAAGACTAATAACACCATTTAACCACCACCACCACAAAATAATTGCAAGAACTTACCAAGAAGAGACAATCCATCTCACCTTCAGCAACCCGAACATTCTAAATAAACTTTCAACAAGATTTACTTCAATAAGAAATGGAAAAATGGGGGGTGCTGAGAAACTCAAGGAATGGTGCGCTGGTAAAGAGGCATAGCTCCCAAAGCCTCACGTTCTGCTCTCTCCCTCTTCACCTGCAAATCATGATCAAATAATTTATTTTAACACAGCTTGTGAAGCAGGTTTAAGTTAATTGAAGTCGGAAATAATTTAATAACATCTTCCATTCAATAACTAATTAGTTCTTGTTTTTGTGGTAAAATAAAACTTAATCTAATTACATTCCCCAAAGCAAAACAGAGTATAAACGCATTTGAATTTTGCATGTATCCTTGACAATGCTTCCCATGTACTTGCATGCACCTTATTTTTTCATAAATTTATCACCAAGCCCCCTCATCCCCTACCCCTGGGAAAGCAGATAATAGTGCCATCGGTAGCTAAAAGCTAATTTATCAAGACAATGTCCATTTAAATCTTGGATCCAAAAAATTATCATGAGAGAAAAGTAGGATATAAATCCATAATAGTGAAACAAAATGTTTTGTCGTAAATGATATCAGGCTTATTTGTAAATTTGATCTAAAAATTGAGCGACTGATTTCCATTATGATGAAAGCAATGCCAAAATCTGGGATGATTAAACAGAATCTGTCATAAACAATCCAAATCTTGACAGATGATGTAACATAAACATCAATCACCATGACCCATCCAGTATGAAAGCAAAAACATTTTTCTAACCAAAAAGAATATAAGCAATAAAAATAAAAGGAAAAGCCAACACATGTGACATCATACAGGTAGTTCAAAGCAGCAGCCTGGGCACCAAAATTTATCAAAGAGCAAGCCCTCCAATATCAGAGGTGATCCAACAACAATTGAATGAAGCTAGACCTACAGATGAAAGACTAAAATGGTAGCTTGCTTCTAAATTTAGGTAAATCCAATTATCCGAGAAATTCAAACTAAACTCGAGACAATTTTCTGGACATTCTTAATTTATGCAATTTTAGATAACCTCCACACCTTGCAGATCAAATTCTCTTTTTTGTTACTTTTTTAGTTAAAAAGTCAATAAAGCAGGAGATGAATTAGTTTTAATGCGGCAAGAAAACAATAATAAACACATCAATTATGAAACAATAATAAGCACTCTGAAAGGAAGTATGGCACTTTCAGGCACCTATAACCAGTAAGCCACTTCTACCAACTAAATGATCCAGCCTGTACAAGGTCATATCCAATACCAGTACCCAATAATAGATAAATTATTTACATAGAAGGTACATGAAATCATGACAATTCTTTTGCACAAAAACTTTACATAATATTTTCAATGGTTCTAGGCTTTAACAAAGTTGCCACCATGATTAACTATATATGTTGTAGATTCACAAAGACAGCATATCTACCTATGGCCATGCCCAGATTTTTGGGACTTGCAAGGCTCAAAACCTTATGAATGTTCATCTTGTTCATGTGATCATGTCACACAGCATTGTGTAGCGAGCATGAGAACTTCAATAGAAGAATAAATGCATCCTAAATTTTATTTTGGTCTGAATATAGAATAAGCAGATTATTGCTGTAAAGATAATCATAATGAACTTGTAGTGTCAAATCTTTGAATCAAAGAACTGACACAACCAAAAGACTAATTTGGGTTGTTGCAGCAACATGCTGAACGCACAAAACACATGGCGGCTTGCTTTTAAGTACTAAACCATCTGTTAGTAATTGTAAGTGACATGGAGACCAGAGAGCAGTCAGATCATTTTTTTTATTGGAAAAACAACAGGAAAGTGACACAAGGCTGTTGTTTTATCTAGTATGTAAGAAATCCCAATTCAATAGAGTTCCCCAACAGGATCATACGGTGAAAATGAAAACAACATTTACCAATCTAGCTTACTACTTGGTACCCTAAACAAAACAAAGTAAAAGCACAGAGTTGTTATAAGGTGCTCCAGGAGCACTACCAGTCTACTCAAATGAATCTGAGATCCACCATGAAAACCCCTCATAAATCACAAGTAAAGGAGTGTTGCTATGGGAGTAGTAATAACCCCTAAAAGCCACAAGCAAAAGTATAAGGATGTGAATTAGCTGCAATTTATCAACAGCAGGCGTAAATAATTCATGTTGGGTATATGCATATGCAAAAAACATGTAATAGAAAAAAACAGTGCAACTGACTCTGAAATCTGCAGCTATAGATGGAACAAAGAGAAATGTATACAAAAAGAATCAGTTTTTGAACGAAAAAAATATAAAAACTTACAAAGGCCAGCATTTCTTGCAGGTAGCTCCTGAACGGTGTTTGCATTGCCTGCAAAAGCACAATGAAAACATACAGAACCCCCTTCAGAAATCAAAGAACATATATTGCATAACTAAAAAACCAAAACAACAAAAATAGCGAATACATTGAGCATCCATAACCCAACACATACACCCACACCACACGTTATTATTTAGAGCCCGTTTGTTTTTGCATTACAAACACGTTATTAAAAAAAAAATTATTTTTTATTTTTTTCTTTGTTTCAAATTATTATTTATTTTTGAGTTTTCAGATCAAATTTTCATCTGCTGATGTGAAAAATAAAAAATAAAATATTATTTCAATATATTTACAAGCAAAAAACACTTTAAAAATCACATCAAAAAACAACCACTACCACAATATCAAACGAGCTTTTAATCAAGCATGAACATCATCCACACACGTTCAACAACAGAAACAGGAATCTAAAAATAAGTCTGAATTCTATAAGATGCAGAATAGTCTAATAAAAATACATTTTGTTTTTAATTAAAAAATAAAAATCCATAAAATTATAAACCCAAGAAAAAATATTAATTTCTTTCGAGTAACACAAATGTGAGTAATTTAGTAATAAAAAAAATAAAATAAAAAATAAAAAATACCTGCAGGTCCTCAGGAAGATACTCGTGCTTCATAGAGAGGTCCATGGCACGCTTCAGACGCTGATGACGAGCGTCAACGATTTCTCTCGGGAGGCGATTAAGCGCCTCCTTGATATCCAGTTCGTAATAAGGGTCGTACAAATCATCGTATCGGAGCCCTAATTAAATCGATTTCAATAAAATGCAAATGAGAAAAAATAAAATAATTAGGGTTTTGAAAAAAGAGCAGAAAAGAAACAGACCGTATCTGCGGAGGCGGGAGGAGAGAGTTTTCATGTGTTGCTTGGCCAACCAGTTCTTTCTTGGATCTATGAATGATTGCAAAAACGACGCCATTTTTGGAAGATCTGTCTCCCTCTCTCTCTCACTCACTTTTTCAGGTGCTTGCGTCTGCCTGGCTCTTCTCTTCTCTTCTTTTCTTCAATTTCTTTTCATGGGCTTTTCTGGAAGAATTAGTTTGTTGGAGATATCTTAGGACCAATTCCTAATGTAATATTGGGCCACATGGGCTCAATAAAAAAAGCCTTGGACTTACTGTGTGGTTAGCTGGGCTACATTTCTTTGCTTTCGGGCTAAAGGATCAGGCATCTATCTAATTCATTTCTCTTATTGTTTTTATTATTATTATGCTGTTGTTGTTATTTATTTTCAAGAAAATATATAAAAAATAATTTTTTTTCTAAATTGCATCAATTTTTATAACGTTCGCGCATATATATTTGGATTTTATGAAGCAGAGCTCGATTCCCTATCATTATCATATTTATTAAACTTAATTTGGGATTGAGGTTGGTTAACTTGAAAAAATTAAAAATATATATTTAAATTTTTAATATTTACATGAAAATTTTAAAAAATAATTCATGTAAATTTAAGCTATATATATTATAAATAATTAAATTTAAAATATTATTTTATCCTGAAAGATATGCTATTTTTTCAAAAAAATTGAAGTATTTAAATTTTTTTTATCTCAAACACAATTTTCTTCTTTGTAGCATAAAATATATATTAGTCAAATTTCACATTAAAAAAAAATCTTATTCAAGTATTTATATAATGAATGTTTATATAAATTCGTAACTAATAAAAAAAAATAGAAGACTCAAGTGTATGAGATTGGTTCAATAAAAAAAAATCTTGAATTATTATAATATCTATGCTTTATTTAAAAAAAGTTGAGATTATAAATTTATAAATTATTTTTTTAATTTATTATAAAAATATATAAACATAAAGAAAAATGATCTCACTCTAGTTATATCAAGTCACCCGGTTTTCAGGTTATGTCGAATAACCTGGTTTTTCAATTAATTTAATAAATTGTTTAATTTTTAAATTTTATCAGGTTACTTTAAGCCCATTATAAATTTAAATTTCAAGTTAACCTACTAGATCATACTAGACTTTACAATTATAACTATAATATCATACATTTATTTTTTATTATTTTATATTTTCTTGTTTTTTGAATAAAAAAAAAAGATGATAACATTTTTTTTGTTTGTTTCAATGATATATTCATCAAAAACAAATTATTTTAAACGTTGATATCATAATTTAAACTATATAAAAAAAACTCTTTCAACGAACAATAGTGTTAAAGTTGAGATGAGAGCATTATGGATTTGTTGTTTTAAACTATGTTTATCTATAAAATAAATAAATAAATATAGAAATGATGTTTTTTATGTGGCTAACCACAATTTGAAATATGGTTTTTATGATTAATTGTAATTTAAAATGTGGTTCGCTGCAGGGCTGGTTGGCAGGGCCCGGGCCCGGGCCCGGTAAAATATTTTTTCTTTTTTTTTTTCCTTAAATAATTTTAAATTTTAACTCTAGAATTAGTAGATTTTAACTTTTGGCTTTTCATATATATAATTTTTTAATTAGGCCCTTCAAAGCCTAATGTCCTGGCTCTGCACTGCACCGACAAAAACAGACTAACTAGGGCGACCATAATCACAACCTCATGTGAATGTGAGAGAGACAACACAAAAACACTTTCCATTTCCGACGGGTCTCTCTTCACAGTAACGTGAACAAAGATTATGATGGGCCAATAACAAATCAATACCACTCCCTTTTCAAGGAAATATAAAATGAATTTGTACCAGAAATGCAAGATTCTTCTACTTCTTCTTCTTCTTCGTTGATGAATAGAATTGCAAGATTCTTCTGACAAACAGCTGCACATGTAAGAATCCTTAACCACTACAATCTGACATGCAAAATGGGACAAGTGGTAGGGTTAGTTCATCTATAAAGACGAAGTGCCACAACACCCTCGTGATTCCCAGCTCCTGTGTTCGAGAAAAAAACATGAGCCCTACAACTTTGATAGAATCGACTGTCTATATCGATCATAGCTTGGGTCCTAGGAACCCATTTTACTTGATATTATCATGTTGAGCTACACTGAGTTTGATAACCATGTTGAGAAGTAAATGGATTATTTGGATTCATGAATAGCCTGTGCTTTCTAATGACCGATGCAAAGAATTATAAATACTCATGACTAGAGCAATGATAAGGCAAGCAGGCTTCTCGATTGTGGCTAGCTGTTCTATGTAAGATTACTTGTGACGACTCACATACAATATTGGTGGATTTGATCCTTTGCCACTGATGGGTCAGTGACGAGACAATCAAGCCAGAAGTAGCAACTACTTTCTTTGGAGAGGGGAAATCATGTCTACGACATGTTTCTCCTGATTGCAGGCCTAAGACAGTGCAAGAGCATCACCTTTTATCCTTGATTTATTCTTGTCTACCAATAGATATCACAATTGACTGGATGCATGCAGACAGCTTTATAAAACTTATGGCCCATAAAATATTAAGGATCCGATTTTTTTTATATACTTTAAGAAAAATGTTGCTTCAAAGACAAATGAGTACTCATCGACATGTTTCATGCTGAAAATCCGTTTTCTCATAAAGACCATGCCTAGAAGAGATCTTGAGAAAGAAGATTTCTTAAAGAAGGGCAACAGAGACCACGTCCCATGGCAAGAAAGTCTTGCAAAATTCGAGCCCCGCGAGGTCCAAGCTCCTATAAAACTAGTAAGATGCCAAATCCAATTGTTTTAGACTCGGTTAGTGGTAGGCTCAAGAATCCATGGCTCTAGTGAGATGGCTGACTCAATCTCCTCAAGTCCAGCTACATGTCAGATCTAAATACTTATGGGCATGACAGGATATCAGGCTTAGCCCCCTTAAGTTTGGCAACACATGAGGCTAGGTGTATGTGTATCTGGTGAGATACTAAATCCAAAATACCATGATTTAGAGCAGTTTTCTATGGACATGTAATGCTACTATCAACAATTAATGTCATATAAGGAACAGTACTGACAATCACCATTAATATTGATGGTAAAGATCTCTTTGCTACATCGATATAAAAAAAGAAAAGATTTACAACTATCAGAAAAAAAATACATATTTAAGATTATAACTATTTTTTAAATAATCTACAAAAAAGATGAATAATCTTCACTCTTGTATAACTTATTCTCAGAATTTATCATATATAATCTAAAAAATAAATATTTTTGTTTTTAGAATTTAATATTTATATACTATAACTTCTCATCATAAAATCATTAATTTAATTTTTAGAGGGTCTCAAAACTTTTTTTAAAAAAACTATTTTGCTAGCAATAAATCAGTAACTTAATTTTTGGAGGGTCTCAAAACTTCAAAAAAATAAAAACTATTTTGCTAGTAATCCACTTTTGTTCATCAACCCTTGAAATCCTTAGCTATGGAGAATAAAAGATTCACATGAACACGTAATAATCCAAACGCGGCAAAAAGTAATTCCTTATACTATTAAATAACTTCATTCCAAAATCTTTTTATGGATCTCTAAGACTTCTAAAAAAGTTAAAAGCAAACTCATTAAAATTAAGCTTATTCTGTTTATTACCCGTGTAGAGGGTTGTATAAGTTAAATTACTTAATCAAATCAATGTTATTTTAATTTTAAATAATATTATTTCAATTTTTTAAAAACTAATATAGATTTTAATCATGTCACGTGTTAACTCTTTATATCATTCAAGTTAAATCAAATTAACTCCTTTTTCTTCTGAAAAAAAATATAGCTAAAGTCATGTATCAAATCAGCATGCCTAGACAATCAGAGTTTAATAACACTAGTTAAAAGGGGAATGCTTTAGACCCAAGCAAGAAAAACACAACACTAGTCATTCACGTTTGTGCTGCTTTTATTGTCGACATGCCATGTCTTTGGACCCGCGTGATAGATTCCCAGTCAGCACCAGCTAGACCAATGTTTGGTGAAAATAATAGTACTGTAATTATAAAGCAAGTCATTTGATCGTACGATAAATTATTGCTAAGCTTTCTATTGTGTGGGGAGGGGTTCAAAGCTTATTCTAATTTGTTTCCCAATGAGCCATGATTTTTTTTTTATTTGACATGTGGTAGTTTTGGTTTTTTTGAAATAGTTTTTTATATTAAATTGATATTTTTAAGTATTTTTAATGTTTTTAATTTTCTGATATTAAAAATAAAAAAATCTAAAAATATATTATATTAATATATTTTAAATTAAAAATTACTCTTTAAAAAAAGTGAATTAGCTAGTAATTGAATTTGGTCGATTAATTCCATTTTCTACGAGTTAATTTTAAAGTTGATGGATTTGAAAAACTTTCTATTTTTATATTGATTAGTATTTTATTAAAAATTCTATTTTGATTAGTTTATTAAAAATTCTATAATTCTATTTAATTTTTTTATTTTTATAGAGAATCCGAAATGAGATGAAAAATTGAGGAAAAAAAATCTTATTTGTACTTGTTTGTATAAGGTATAAGAGAAATAGCAATATATATTTATAATTAATAATTGATATCAAAATAAAATGAAATATTTCGATTCAGGTATAACTTTTGATGGTGAACAATGGTGGAAGATGGGAGGTTGAAGATGCCTCAATGGCATAAAGCAATGGAAATCTAGGAAAATCAATCACCTTGAAAAGTGAATTTATTTTCTATGTTACTATAGATAATTTAAATATTATTAGAAAAGGTTATGAGGAAATAAATTATTACGAAGCCATCATCACCCTAAATGTGGATGGTTTATTTAAGGTTTAATAAACCATCATAAACCATCCACATTTAATATATTGGATTTTTTGTTATTAATATTTAATAAATTGTATTAATCTTAATAAAAATAAAAAATAAAAATGTTTATTGAACACTGAAAGTTTTATATTAAAGATTTAAATAATCTTATATAAAGTTTGATCATTCCTAATTAAAACAGTTGATTTTTATATTTTCAAATTATATAAAATAATTATAATCTCCCTGAAATTAAATTAAGAATGCAAATCTGGATTGTCATTCAATATATAATGGTTAATATTAGGATAGA